ATCTTCATAAGTATTTGGAGGGGTTATTTAGCATTAACATCTGTACTTTTTTGCTTAGGAACCTGCTAATAGCAGACTACCTCCTCACTTGATTGCACTTGATTCTTCTCTGCCCGGGTTTTTTGATGATGTTGGTTACCTAGACTTGCTGCCATGTCGTCCTTTTGATACTGTTTTCATTTTCTACATGAAGGCAGGCCAAAAAACAAACCAAGAAGTAAGTAATAGGCTGATTTCTTGTAGTTTGTCACCCGCTACAAAGTATAAGAATGTGCTGAAGAGTTCAACAATAATTTGGAATTCAGTTGGAAATGAAATCATTCAAGATTTTATTCCACAATAATTTAAGTTTATTTTACAGGCTGCAAAAAATTATACATAACTCTTATTTTATTTCCACAATTTTTAAACTTTCTTTCTTAACCTACCCTAATTTTACTTATTCAAGGAAAGAGGTTATGTGGGACATTGGAAATGGTGTTTTAGAACTCATTTGACAATTCTTAACTACTGTAAGACACAGAAACTTCTTTAAAAAGCAAAACTGTTTTCAGGAACTAAATTCTGTATTAAGTAATGTGTTCATAATATTCGTAAGTAATATTATCAATATTATAATAGTTGAACAAGTTGTGATTTATTAGGCCAAAACAAGCCTTATGTCTCTGCATTCCCATAATTTTTCTAGCTTCAATGGTTTCATTAAGCCAATATTTCTTTTGGGGTCCTGAGAAACATATCAAACCTGTGGAAATCATATCAAACCAGGATATGAGAAATATGGTTTAATTAACTGATATGAGTGCTGAGACTGGGCATCTGTAGGGACTTCCATGGGCATAATTATATCTGCTTTAGACATTTTGTAGTTTGAATAGATGGCATAAATCATTCCAGTCTATATCTCTGGATGATACAAAGTACGCATATAGTATGCAGCTAGTCTTATTTATCTTATTTATTGTACCAGTCAGATTGCTTGATTCTTCAAGGCAGTTATCCTGGATATCTTAAAAATGCAAAAGAAAGTGCTGATTTCCACAATAGTGTTAGTAAGAAATTGCCTCTATATCTTTTCGGGTTTTTTCTGCTATACTGGTCTTTTCTTCCCCAGATTTTGAAGAACGTAGAGTCTTCCAGAAATGTTCAACCACACTTCCTAGAGTTCTTGCTATCTCTTGGATGGTCTGTTGATGTGGGCAAGCACCCTGGATGGACAGGACATGTTTCAACCAGCTGGTCCATTAATAGCTTCTGCGATGAGGAGGAATCAGAGCAAGGTGAGGTGTTTTCTTAGGACCAGGACAGAGTGACTTACTGAAATAGATCAATTTTCCTTCCCCCATCATCTCCATTTTAGCAAGGTCTAGGTGGACTGAATAATCTTAGCAGAGAATTCTTTGTGGAGGGCAAAAATAATCATTCTGCAGTGATCTGGGAAGCTCAGAATTACTCCATTTCCTCACACATGGATTTAAGCATTTGGAGTGTCCTGAGACAATTGCTCTTCTCGTGCTTATGTTGAGATAGGTACATCGTCCATAGAACTTTAGGTGCAGCATATAAATTCTTTTTAGTTACTCAAAAAACAAGTTAATCTTCAAAATATTAAGAGGACATAGTTCTTTTAATAAAGCACAGAACAGGACTTGATTTTAATTTTTCCCCTCTTCTCAGATGAAGTAATCTGTTCAGAAGACATGGGAGCAAATATTTTCAATGGGCAAAGAAAAGTGTTGTATTATGCAGATGCTCTTACAGAAATAGCTTTTGTTGTTCCTTCGCCTGTGGAGTCCTTAAGTAAGTATACTGCTTATGTCTTTGTTCTTATAAGTGATTGAGAAATATTTCAGCATTTGATTAGAACTGCCTACTGCACTGCAGAAGAACTTGACACATATGAAAAATATGTGATAAATTCATTTTACTTTATCACTCTTAAACTGGAACAGAATTTATTTGTTTTCCTCCCTGCTGCAGAAAGCCATAGTGCTTTTAGCATATTGATACATTTTCCTGTGTTCAACATCCATTTCTTTTGCCACTCTTTTGTCATTATCTCATAAGATTTTAATATCCACCCACTTCTCGTATGAAATGTTAAACATATTTTAAGGGAATTCATAAAATATTCAAATATGGAATAGAAATGTTTAGGCTACTTTATTTTAAAGTTCTGTGGCATGTCAGTAATATACAAAGTCTCTTTTAGGGAAAACATAGAATTAGCATATATGCAGAAATGTTTCCAGATAGTTACAGGAACATCTTCTACCTAAAATTCTGTCAAGTTGTTTCCAGTCAAAATTGAGAAAAACTGAACTGGATCACTAAAAGTTTATCATTCTCTTTTGTTCACATTTTATTTGCACAGTTATAACTGAATCAGAAATCGCTATTGGTTGGAGACTAGGGAAATTGTAGGGCTCCAAAATTGTGGGTTCTTTCTGCACTTGAATGAATGAGCTACCTGGAAAACCACTGTTAACATTCAGAATGGATTTGGAGTTGATGACCTTTTTGTTTTAAGAAACTTCTTTCTTTTGGATTTCAGCAGATTCATTGGAAAGCAATGCCTCAGACCAAGAAAGTGATTCTAACATGGATCTCCTTCCTGGGATACTAAAGCAGCAAGCACTGACACTTGAGCTCTTTCCCAATCATACAGACAATCTCAGTACTTCACAGAGGGCAAGTTTATTCTGTGTGAACTTTAAATATAAGTTATAGCTTTTATATATTTCTTTTTCCTAGCATTTTTTCCTGCAGGTGGAGGGTCTGTTTTCCCCCTCAAATCAATCAAATGATGATCAGTTGGCTGCTTTAGGAATTGAATGACCAGCTTTTGGCCAGAGCCTGATGTTCTGGGTGAGAAAGAGTGCCTGGCCCAAGGTTTTTATATCTAAGGCAGTAATAGAATTGACCATCTCCTGGTTTCTAGCCTGGAGAAGTGTCTTTGGGTGGCATACAACAATCCAATAAAACAGTAATAAATGAAACAACCATTACTTCAAACTATTATATAATAATTATTAAAAGAATCTTAAAAACTATAAATCAAGAAAAGAAAATAATAGATAGAGGGATGTTAAATAATATTAGAGCCAACTCACAAATTCATCTATCACCTGGGGCACCCAAGCTTGCTGGCATATCCAGGACTTGAGGGACCTTCAAAAGGTCAGGAGTAATGAGACTGACTTCATTTCTGTTGGGGAGAAGATACCACAATGAAGTGCCATAGCAAAAAGGGCCCACCACTTAGGGCCTGCCAAGTGTAGCTCCCTTGATGATAGAACCAATATTATACCCATTCTGTTGGATCTGGTGAGACGGGTTCCCAAACCATGGCCCACTACCAGGCCATGTTTGGAACCTGGCCACGGAAGTGGTGTATGAGCACGTTCACATGCACTTGTGCAAGCAGTGTGTGAGTGTGTGCACGTTCCATTTGTGCCTCCTGATCGTGTGAAACCATCCCCCCTCCCCCCACTGGGAGATGACCCAGGGCAGTGATGGCGAACCTTTTAGAGACTGAGTGCCCAAAAACTGGCCCCGCTCCACCCCCTGCCCCGCCCCCATCCCGCCTGCCCACAGGGCCACTTACCACCTCCAGGGCCTGCCGCAGATCGCCCAGGCAGCCCAGCAGCACCATTGTGGCCATGCCCTCTGCCCACGTCCCACAGCATCAACTGTGCGCGGTGGGGTATGAGGGCAGAGTCTTGTCTACGCTGCCTGGCTGCCATGTCCTTGGCTGCGCTGCTCCGTACAGGCCACACTCAGGGGTGACTCTCCTCCAGGGAGGCTGCTGGTGAGGAGGGGGGTCATGGGAGGAGGCAAGGTTGGGGCAATGGCACGTGTGCCCACAGAGAGGGTTCCGAGTGCCGCCTCTGGCACGCGTGCCAAAGGTTTGCCACCACTGACCCAGGGCATGATTGACTGTGAGTAAGGTCCCTTAATCCAGGAACTGGCACTACTGGTACATGATATGGAGTTATGCAAAGGCCCTCCAACTGTCATCTGCTCCTTAGGAAAGAGTCATGAGTCCAGGAAGTCCCCCAGATTGTGCACAGGATCTGTTTGCAACCCAAAAGATAATAGTGTCCTAGAACCAGAAAGCCTCCAAACTAAAGCCACTCAGTCTTGCCAGGGTTCAACTGAAGTTTGTTGTTCTCCATCCAGACCCCCACAGTCTCCCACAGAATTTAATAGATACAAGTCTCCACTGTAATTTTATCATAATAATGGCACCAAGGCTTTATCTTCTTCCAAACACTTTATTTATCATAAGAAAATATCTTAGTGCAATATTTTGTAGCCAGTTGGGTATAACATAAATTAGTCTTGGGAAGAACTTCGTTTCACAGAGATGTTTATTGCTAGTTAATTGATTCATAATAAGTTATATGTTGCTGAAATGTGTTAATTTCCTTCAGAGTCTTAGAGCTGAATACATGCTGCTAATTTTGATTAATAGGCAAACATTTGTTTTTGTTTTTATACATGCAATAGCTCAGTCCAACTTCCAGATCAAAGAAATTTCCACAAGGTCGGGCTATTCCCCCAATGGGACCTGAAACCAAGGTGTATGTGGTTTGGGTTGAACGCTATGATGACATAGGTACGTGAATCTCAGAATTTTATTACAAATATGGAAGGAGAACTTCCTTCCTTTCCTTCCTTGTAAGCCTTAGGCTTTTCTGGTAATTTCCCATCCAAATTCTCATCAGGTCCAGTCCTCTTAAATTTTTCTGAAATTAGAATTACCGGTAACTAGCTACCACTATTTGCAATTACAAATTTGATGTAGTTTCCAGTTATTATTTTTGTGTTTTCTTGAAACTTTTTATGAATTTAAAAATGTATTTATTGTTGTTATTTAACCTTAGATTATCCTTGTCTTGCAGAGAATTTCCCTCTCTCTGACTTTGTTTCAGAGACTAGCACTGGAGTAGAAACTACAACAAATAGCAGCACTTCACTGAGGTATGACTTAATTTCTCTACCTTTTCGGTGACACTGTTTCTATGTGGGCATAGTTCACATCTGTTCATATGCAACCTGGGAGCTAGGCATTACCACATCTAAGTCCCAACCAATAAATTGTGATAAACAGGCATAAGTCAAGCCTATATGGAGGGAAGCATGTTTACTTCACTTCCAAATATATTTTTCATGGTGTGGGCAAAATACTATTCCCTAATGACATTTAAAGTTGTTGTAGTTAACATCTCTTCCTAATAATTTTGGGTTTTGTGCCTTGGCCACACATGAGTTCTGGTTCTTAGGTTTGCAGCTTGCTTCTGTTAACTCCAACTTTCCTGTTGATATTTGTGTATATTAAGCCAGCCAATCCATTTGCTGTATAGCTGGCATCATTTTAGAATACTGTCTACATTTGGTCTCCTGCTGACATTTTTGTTAAAATGTTTTATTTTTTTATTATTTAAAAATTGAATCCTTCAAAATTTGGCATCAAAACACAATTGCTTTGTTTATACATTTAAATGTTCATTGGTTTTAGCTACTTATGTGATTTTTAAGGTCTGCTATTCCTGAAAAAGAAGTGCCAGTGATTTTCATCCATCCCCTCAACACTGGATTATTCAGGGTAAAAGTACAAGGAGCTACTGGAAAATTCAATATGGTTATCCCTCTAGTGGATGGCATGATAGTTAGCAGAAGAGCTCTAGGTATGTCTTCTATTAATATTTGACTATTAATTTACTACCTTTGAATGCAGCATTATTACTAAAGCTTTCTGTTACATTAGCACTAGGCTACTTCTGATTTGGAAAAAAAATCAATTCTTCCTTCTCCTTGTGTTCAAGCCTCTTTTTCAGGCAATATTCCAGCAACAGAGCCAGATTTTAATTGTTTATGGGGGATTGGTTGGAAGAACAACATATTGGTGGTATACTTTCATATCACGTTGGATATCCTTTCTCCCAGTATTAGGGAAATATTTACCAAGGAGATGTGGAATAAAGTGATAAAAGACAATCAAGTTGGACTTGTACTAATACTTTTCAGATTTATTGCTTACAGGTATATATACTAATAATGTTCCTAAAAAAGGTGGTAAGATCTTCTAATAGTAAGAGATCTACTGGAGTATTCCAATAAACTCAACTTTCTGTCCAAAGTATAACCTCAAGTCAGATATGCAAGGCAATCTAAATGTAAATAGAATTGGGAGCAGTGAGGATTCAGATCCTTCATCCTTCCCATCCTGGTCCTCTTAATCCTCATTACTCCTTAGGTTTTTGCAGTATTGGAGATTCCTAATCTTGGAAAAAAAAATAGCCAAGTATGGGAGCGTAATCCCATCAGTATATGGGTTTAATAAATAAATATTAAATCATAATAATACAACCTACCGTGGCAGAATTGGGTGATATGGAAACAGAATCCAGGGTTGGATTTTACCTCTTGTCATGGTAGCCATCATTGCTGGATGATGATGGTCAGCAATATTAAGAGGGCAACAGGTTCCTTATTTTCAGCCCCTTTAAACTAAGATAAGTCTGTATTGAGAATGAAGTAATTAGACATTGAAATTGTTAATTTTGTAATGGAAAGAAACAGTTACATACTGCATCTCCTACACGTATCATTGTTTCTAGCAAACAAAATGGTGTCTATTATTTACTGTTGATGTTTTGGCTAGACATTCAAATTGTTAGAATAAAAATGGAAGGATATATATATATATATATTTCCTGAGTGAAATATTAACTTTGTTCCTTTTTTATTTAAGGATTCTTAGTGAGACAGACAGTAATAAATATTTGTCGAAGAAAAAGGTTGGAAAGTGACTCATACAATCCCCCTCATGTCCGTCGAAAACAGAAAATAACTGATATTGTCAATAAATACAGGAACAAACAGCTGGAACCAGAGTTTTATACCTCTCTTTTTCAAGAGGTTGGACTAAAAAACTGTAATCCTTAAACCAGGACCCTTTTTGAACAATTAAATTGCAGCTTGGTATCTGCAACGATGAAATAAAATCTTCCCACTTGTGGACCTCTTGTGTAAACAAACCACATTCTCAGCATGACTTCTGCTTCTACTGCAAGAAAATAAGGAGGACTTGCTTTTGGCTCCAGTCCTGCAGTCCTTCTGAGCACATCGCCACACCTTCAGATGCTACAGAGGGAGAACCTTTGATAATGAAGTATTATTTATTAATAGACAATATAATGGATGTATATCAAATAGAAGGTTAACTACACTTCTCATGATTTCCCATGTTTGCAACAAAAAAAAAAATCGGATTCTGAGCATAGAATTAACACATGGTTTCATATTGGTTTCTCTAGCAGATTAGACGTAAGGGCAAATTATTTCAGATAAACTATTTGTGCATTTGTCTGCTCGGTTTGCTTTTCCTTTTATGAGCATCTAGCCAGAAAATTATATTTGGATCTTGTCCTCTACTTTCAAAGCCATGGACTGGTTGCTAAATGTTTTATCTTTGTAAATTGTTAATGTCTATGTCTTCTGCTGGTCTGTCCAGAAAAAAAAACCTTGGACCTTTGGTTTAAGAGAGGGGAGAAGCAAAAATACTCTTTGGAGTAAAATGGCACATTTTGCTCAGTGGTTAGTTTTGAAATATATGCCTCGGTGTATGTGTTGGTGACATCTGAGCTATCCACTACAATGTTTGAGACACAAGTAAAACCCTTGTTATAGAATTTGGTACAGTTGGATGTATGTTATGTGTATAAACATACATACACTCACACGAAAACAAGCTGGTACTTGAAACCTAAATTAAAAATTTTACAATTATGCTTTCACTCATTTCAATTGAATTCAGGACTTGGCAGGCATTCCCTATCTAATGACAACAGAAATAAAAAAACATGTTTAATATGAAGTCATAAAATTGTTGAAATAATTAGGCTATCTACGTATTTCAGAAGAGTTACAACTCTTTAAAAAAATTGACATTAGAAGAGATGATTCTGTCAGAAACTGAGCATTCATGCTAACATACTCTCCTACCCCTGGCCTAATGACATCATAACACCTATTTGTACAGAATACATGTCGCATGATGGTTGAAAGATTATTTTCCTTCACTTGCATTGACTGTTGTGTTCGATACTACTAGATGTTAACAGGACCTACAATTTTTGGTGGATGTCAGAATGAACTTCTTATAATGTCTATAAGCCTTGAAAATCTTTGCATAGTTCTGAGGATGATAAATGACTGAAGTAGACATAGGGTAGGATAGAAATGCTTTTAGATAACTTTTGTTGACATATCTAAAAATTAGCCTACGCGTGTTGTAAATAGAAATATTTTTCCCCAGAGAATATCCAGAATACTTCAGGGACAAATCTTTTTGGGAGTATGGGTAAGCAATCAAAAAGATTCTATGAACCTGGATTTAAAAATATTTTCGATTGGTTCAATAGAATGTAGCTCTTAATAAATATATCAGGAGATATCTAGGCCAGCAAGAATTCACTTCCTGATTTTCCAAAAGAATTTGGTGCTTTGAGTTTTTTGTTTTGTTTCTTTTTTTTCAACCATCATAATAGAGTATAAATCAGAATATTTTTGGTTAATTATATAGAACCAGAAGCTGAAAATTAAACACTTTGCCCCAAAGTCACTGGATTAACTTCATAATTATCCCAGAATATTTAGGACTAGTCACTTATATATAAAGGTGATTAACAGTCTAGTAACTCTTTCTCTGTATTGAACAAATTTGATTTAGAGAATAAATCTAAATAAAGAACCATAATATGCCTTGGAAACTTAATGTGGAGCTCATGCAATATTTTGGTTTTAAACATAATAATCTGCTGATTTACTTTGATGAACAAATGGCCAGTAATCATCTCTAGGAAGTGAATCTTTATGTGTTATATCGTTAGACCCTTTCCATTCTAAAATTAATTATGATAAATTCCTTTCCTACAACAAAGTAAACAAAATATGAATATTGATTTTCTTACTCTTGCTGGCAACAGCTAAACCTCTTGCAAAACACTTCATAAGTTGTGCCTTTCCTTTTTTATATCCAGTTATACCAGGGTGCATGGCATAAACTTAAAAGGAAACATGTATAATGAAGTTACATATGAAGATTCCTTTTTTGATCCATATCATTCTAAATATTGATATGTAAAGAGATACTTTCTGGAGGAGGAGGTGTGCAGCAAAGCTGTACTCATCCAATTTGCCTGCAAAAGTTATTTTTTTAACTATTAAATTTCCAAGGAAAAGCATTTTGGGTCCAAAAATAATAGTGGGAGTCTTTTATTTCCTCTTTTATTTTCTTTATAGTAAGGTTATGCCAAAGAATGAATAGCATCCAAGTGTGGACCAATTTGCAAAAAGAGAAGATGAAAAAGTTTCTAGCTATGATGACTGTGTATTTGTGTGTGTAATACCTACTTTGCAGCTGGTATACAAACTTGGTAATGAGAATTGTTCACTTCTCAATATTCTTTTAAGAGGGATAATTTGTCCTTTAATGTTACAAATTGTGGCATTTTTGAAGAGAAAAGTAATCCTAAATAATAGTTTTTGAACAAGATTGAGTAATGGACAAGATGGCTGCATTGAATTAACAGGGTGATTATTTTTAGTTTGGTAGGTCCAGGAGCATCTATTGGAAAATAAGGACATTCAATAAAATTAATTGCAAATTTTGGCAAGTTTTGTGGTTCTAAGGCAGGACTAGAACAGAAAATAGCAAGGCTAGTGAGGATCCTGAAATATATAGGCTTTTATATAGCATATTTGATACTGAAGACTTGCCAATATTAATGCAGTGCATGAACACTAAACTTAATTGTAGACTTGCTTAGATACTGTTTAGCTCTATAAATTGGCCAGTCACATTTATTTCCTAGATTAAATGGCATGACCAATGCATGGCTACCACAAAACCTATAACAAGTGTTGAACAATTGAGTGTCTGCATATACACATCAATTGCTGACATAGCTATAATTGCTTGAATCAAATAGGTATTCTGGACAAACCGATTAGTTAATATGATTACTAATGACCTGTTAAATCATCTTGAATTAAACAGGTTAAAAAAATCTACAATGGCTTTTAAACTAATTAGAAACAGGGTGTGATTTAAAATAAGTTGCCTTAAACTGTCCATTCAGATTTAAAGATCTGTAGCTCAGTAAAATAAATGTTAGTCTGTTAGACTCTTCTATGAAACCACAAGAAACATTTTGCTTATAAAGGGGTTCCTCCTCCCCCCCCCCCAAGTTTCTTTTTCTTCTGCATGTCTGAATTTATCCCCTGGCTTGATTTGACTTAGACTTCAGAAAGCTCTCAAGTAGGCAAACTGCCCTGAATCTATATGCATAAATCTTATTTAAATCTGTTATCATATACAAAAGGTCTTGGTGTTAAGGCCTCTATGTGATACTGCTGATAAAAATGGTAAGGCAGAATATGCAACAGAAATCTCATCAAACAGCACTGAGTGTTTAAAAGAAATGTATAAGGGCTTACTTTCACTGCATTCTCTCAGATAATGCATATGATGTGGTCCTCTTGTACAGATGCTGGTTGTCTGTTTTCCATGTATAGTTGAGAAGGCTTCCAAATGCACTGGTAACTTTCTATTTTCTGTGCAGAGCTGTTGATTGATTGCAATAAAATGTTTTGTCTAGACCTCTCAAAAATAGTTGCATTTGAAAATTTAATTTTGGGATCAACTGAGATTTCAGACATCCTACATTATTAACCTTCTTCAAGCTGATAGAAGGTACTTCCAGATGTTGCTGGACATCCCATTCTGGGAATCCAACACTTCTGGAGGGCATTAATTTGAAAAAAGTTGTTTAATATAAATACATTCAGGGTAGCCATTATATTTCAAAATTTTATTTTGAATACCATTACACTAGGTAATTAAAAAGAATGTAAGCTTATAAAGCAGATGGCTTTTCTACCATTACCGCTGCTTGTTTCCTATTATCATTTCGTTTTGTATACTTTCATTCCAGTCTCTTTATGAGATACAATATTAGGGCTACACATATTTATCCTGTCTACTTCTGTCGTAAGATGTTGTGCTTACCATCCTTTCGATACATTATTATTGGTATAAGTTGAGCAAGAAAAAAAATGCAATCTTCATAGCACTTCCATATAAAAGGTGTCTGTTTTAGTACCTTCAACAAAAAGTTTTCACTTAATAAATATAAAGCCCTTTTCTTCAGCGGATTTTCAAGTGTTTATTAATGTACAGCATAAGGAGGGAACCGAAGGGAATCATGTTTGAACTGAGTAGCTAATCTATATGCAGAGCAGCTGGGACACAGCTGTAGGAAAGAGCTTGTTTCCAATCCTCAGAACTTTATTTGCTTCAATGGGTCGTGAACAGATAGAAATGTCTTGAGAATTGGACTGTCCAATATGTGAAATGGCTTCCCAGTCAGGAAGCATACAATTGTCATGCAGCTGAATATTTGGCACAGGAAGATTATAAGACTACAACTTAAGATGAACAGGGAACAAAAATAACTGTGAGTTCACAATCATAAGAGGGTATCTTTGACAAAGTGCTTTGAAAGAGATGGCCTAGATACCATATGCTTAAAATCATGTACAATTATGTATAAAGTTCTATATGTTGCCAAGACATGATTTTTTGTTCTTGCTGTATTTTCTGTAAATAATCCTAGCACTAAGTTGTAAAGGTAGACTGTAAATACAAAGATGTGAAGCTGTGCTCCTCCTCTGTCTCTAGTATTTTATCTCTTGTTTAGAGAAGGCACAAAGGCTTGTTTGTATTTATGCCAACTCCTTGTCCAGAAGAAACACATCAGATACTGAATGTAACACAATTAGTCAAATAAATTTTAAAGATATTCTTATGTATTCAACTGGCGGTCTTTAGTTTATGTGCTCTTTTTCCCATGGGGAAAAATTATCTTTCCCATAGAAATGGTGTAGAATTGTGGTGCTTTAAGACATTACAGGTAACAGCAGTCTAAAAGCTCAGTGTTGCAGTCTTAAATTTGATTCCTTCTTGATTTCAAGCATCTTTCTTGTCCAAGGAGGTTTTTAGGTAGTCCTCAACTTATAATAGAGCCTGGAATTATGGTCATAATTATGGCCATGTGAATGAAAGTATTTTTTCAGTCTTTTTTGAAGCAGTTGTTAAGCAAACGCTGGGGCCATTAAGTGAATGCCATGATAGTTAAGCAAACCCATTCATTTAAATTCCAGAAACTAGCAAAACACGTTGTGGTTACATCACCGCA